ATCTAGGCCTTTAGAAGACAGCCCCCTTGTAATAAGCAGAGGGACAATATCCTGTTATGAACAGAAGATGGCTCATTGATGCCTAGCCCAGCGGGGGCCAGTGGCGTTTAATACCGCTCTCCCATTTATAAATCCAGTTTATAGTCAACACCCCCCGCCTGGAGATAGCCACGTCCGGCCCACCCGGCTCAGCCTTAATTACTGACAAGTAGGCGATAAACACACAGGGAGAATGGGAAGAGCGCAGCGGGTATTTGATGAAAGCCCGGTGTTTGTGTGTACGTGCTGTGTGTGGTGGTGTGGATGTATTTGATGTGCTAGCTGTAAGTCAGTGATAGCGTTTGTGCGGCTTGACTTGGCTGCGCGCGTGACCTGAAGGGCCATGGTGCATGGTGGTTCTGCTGAATGTGTTGTGTGTGTTTTATTCTTAGTTTATTGCTCCCAGAGGGTTACCAGGCACATCTTTTACTGAGATCACACAACACACACACACCCCACACACACAGATAGAAGCAGGCGAATTCTAATCTTTTCATTGTCTTCAAGTTTCTGAATGAGACGACACCATGAGGTGAATTATCATTACTGCCTGAATAAAATAGAGGAAGAATCGAGACAGATGAAATAAAGAGAAATAAATAAAAGAATAGAAGAGACGAAACTAAATATCGATGTAAAAGCAGTCGTATTAAGAAATCACAGACTTAATGGTGGCATGGCGACATAAGACATTGTTCCTTCTAGAAATAAGTTTACTAAACACCACACAAAGACACACTTCTCAAACTTCCCTCGCTAGTCAGAATCTTATTCAGGGACATTCTCTACACATGTTGATTGAATGCAGTCGTTTTTATTAAAAGCAGCAAAATTCAATACAGAGATCGGCAGGGCGGCAAAAAGGAACAGACATTACATTTATTACAGGAGGCATGGCCAACAACAGAGGAGGGGGGACGAGGAGGACGATGCAAGACGTAGAGTGGAGTGAGAGGGACACGAGAAGGAGAAGGACACAAGAGGACAGGAGGAAGCAGAAGAAGCACAGTGAAAGATGTGGTAGGAGTGAAAGGCAGGAAGCAACAAAAGGAAGGAAGGAAGAACAACACAAAGGAAGGAATGGACCCAAAGTGACAGCGGAATATTGGGGAAAAGGAAAGGGAGAAAGATTGTGATGATGGCGAATTTCATGGCATGGAGGAGGCCTGAAAGGGGAGAAGGATACTGGACGTAAGTGGAGGAAGAAATGTGAAGTGGGATGCCACACATAGCAAAGAAGGAGGAGAGAAAAAAGGAAGGGGACACACGAGGAAATCAGAAGGACAGTCACCTCAGTGTTGACAGAAAACAGGAAGCAGGACGAGGCTTCTGATTAAAAAGATACTTGAATATTGGTGACTCTGCACTCATATCTTGTTGGCGACTGTGTAGCGTGCGTGCTGCCTGAAAATCCAATTTTAAAAGGCTTTTACTTTCGAGACGTATTGCCACTATGAGTTGGAGGCAGTGTGGAGGAAATGTAGAAAACCCCGCCACGTTGATTGCTGTTGGATGGGATGCGTCGTTCAAAAGGCGAACAGCGAAAATGGCGCTTAAAGGATAAATGGACTTCTTGCGATTGTACCTGATGAGTTGTTATTTAGAAAATACCATTTGCTGAATGTTAAGCAGGAATCTTGACCACACAAGTGCCCTCTAAAAATTGTATGTGGGGAGGAAATCCCGATTGTATTGCATGCTGGTTTTGGCAGATTAACCCCCCCAGTGCTGGCCGCAGGAAGCAACCAATGGTCTGCCTCTCAAGACAGTCCCACGGATTATGGGTAGGTTTCCCTTGAGATCGTCTGTGCCATCCGCCTTGGTCAACTGTAAGATTCTCCTTCACACAACTAAATACAGAAAAAAAACAACACACACAAAGCAAGGAAATTTGGCCTTGGGTTCATGATGGATCATGATTGTGTGTGTGTGTGTGTGTGTGTGTGTGTGTGTGTGTGCTCACATGAGTAAATAAGGTTTCTCCTAATGAATCAAAGCAGATTGAACTATGGAGCCTAAACAAGCCTTTCTTGTGGTATTAATGAGGTTGCCATTAATCGTGTGTGGTGCGTGCACATGTTTGTCACTATCCATCTGTGTATTTGTCTTCCTGTGTGTGTGTACGTAATGACCACATGATTATTCACAGTCATGAAACAATACAAGAGATGGTCTCTTATTATGGGATGATTAGACGATCACACACAGACCATACTGCCATGCTGTGTGTGTTTGAAAGTGAATATTAGTTATGTGCAGGGCATGTCTGTACTCGTTCAGTTTGCATTAAAGTCGGCACTAACATATCTCTATGCATGTGTTAATGTGCAACCACAGAGTGCATCTGTGAGCTTCTGTAGTTCTCTGTGTGTGAATGTGTGTTATACTCACAGTGTCCGCAGCTTGGGCATGTGGTTGAAGCTGGACAGGGGAATGAGGGTGATGTTGTTGTTGTTGAGGGTGCTGGAGAGAGAGACAGGGAGTGAAAAAAGGGGGAGAGAGTAGAAAAACAGATTGTTAGAAAAATAAGACCAGTGGTGCCACTTATTGGTTTGGTGGTTTAAACTCTGACGCAAGTCAAATAAAATTTTGTCTAGAAAACAGGTTCAAGTCCTTGTCACCTTTCCTCTGAGTTCTCAAAGAGAAAAAGGAAACTTGAAGTTTGGTGACTTTTGTTTCAGAGTCATAGCTGAATAAATAAGTTTATAACAACCTTTGTCTGTGGTTCCCAACCTCCAAATGGGTTGCAAAATGACTAAGGGGTCGTGAAACGGCTAATAGGATAGAAGAGAATCAAAAACATATTCTGCTTCACCAAAACACGAGAAAGGAAAATCACTCATATGACAATACATCAATTTTAAACCTATGACAAAGGGGCTCGAGTAGATATTGTGTTGTCTTAAGGGGACACAAGAGGTTAGGAACCACTGGTCTCCTGATGTTTTTACATACATTTAGATTTTCTTTTAAATGTTAGAAAATCACTGTACAATCACAGAATGACTGTTCAATTCTGTTGTTTTCGAAAAAAACAGCAAATATAGCACAAAATACTTTTCCCCACCATAACTTAAAGCTCCATGTGATGACAGTAAAATATTAACTTTTATTCTTTCTTTTGAGTTTGAGTTTGACTACTGTGGATGTAATGCCAAATTGGTTAGCAATTTTGTTTAAATTAAAGGCATTTCCTATTTAGATCTCTACTACTGGAGAGTACACTGGCACAAAATGTTATGTTTTTCCTTTTTTCCTTTTTTACTGTTAAAGTAAAGATTATCTGAATTCAGTATGTCAGCATAGAGAGTTTAGTGTGATGTAGAGATTGTAAAGCCCACTAGGACAAATCCGTTATTCTGGGTTATTTGAATAAAATTAACTTGATCTGAAACAAAATTATACAAACATTGCTGGTACTATTTTAAACATCATCAAAACTGCAACACAAATCCTGACCTTCTGTCCAGGGTGCGGCTATTGTGCCAAGTCATCACATAGAGTTTTATCTTATTATTTATTGATACACACACACACACATATGCACGCACAAACCCCCTTGATCTGTGTTCCTTCTATCTCTAACTCATAAGCAGGTCACTGCTGTCTCTGACTATTAGCTCTCTCATAAACTAAAGTCTTTCTCATATGTAGTATCGACCTAAAGTGGAATGAAAAACAAGGTTGACTGTCATTACAACCAAACACACACACACACACACACAAGCAATCCCACTTGGCGTTTTGGAGAAACACAACGCCTATTGATTCTCTGTGGTTTCATGTACAGAAATGGAGACAGAAACAAGAGCAGAGGGGAGAAAAAATGCAGAAAAGACGACTATTCCATCAAAGCAATCCACAGGGGGATCAGATTGCATTGACAGACTCGTACAAGCTGGTAAAGTTGCATATACAAAACACTGGCGGGGTGGGGGAAATGTATCCGAACACAAGCAGGGTCCCTCAATACAGCAAAACACAAGACTGGACAAAGACATACAACTTATATTATGTGGTCATAATGCAATTGACATTATGTGAAAAACAGATCAAATACTTTGTAGTTAGTACCCTTAGATGTACTGTAGGATATAAATTAATGATTGTCAACACACAATCTTGGACTGACCACTGAAGTTTACAGTAAACGATGCAATGTTTGCTTGTCAGAAATTGTTTGCAGTGTTCTGCCCTGATCATGCATAGGATAAATGTTGAGCTGCAAATGGTATTCTTAAAATTTGTTGTATTGTTATTTTGTTTTATTATAATAACAGATATTTTTCCAGATTGATTTGGGCAGTAATACAACAATATTAGGCAAAAATAATGAGCCCTCATTATAACTCGTGAGACTGTTCAAATGGCTTTAAGTCAAATTTTTTACCGGAAAAATTCAACATTGAAAACATGAGTAAATGAGAGATCCATCTTACATTCGAAAATCCAGGGATTTCTAAAATTTATATTAAAGTATAATTCTTCTGGTGGCTTGTGGGAGCCAACATCAACACGAGCCAGTGCAACCCTTTGCTTTGTTTTTGCCCAAGTTTCAGGGATCATTAATTTTACTGGATAGAAAATAGGGCTAGTTTACGTTACATATCACCCGAAACCTTGTGTATTCAAAAGAGTCATTGTTTCAGGACGGATGAAGACTGAGCGGTCATTTTTTATAACTAAAACCCATTCATTTTTCACGTTTGACAATGTGCTTTTAATGCTTTCCGACAAGGACAAGGTCAGCGTTCTCCCTGAAAAATGGCCCAAATTCGAGATGAGAGGATTTTTTTTACAGCATCTGCAATATGTTTGTGCCTAAACATACAGTGTGACCACACTGAGGCTTCAGATTTCGCCGACAAAAATCAAGGATGGTTTGTTTTACACACTGTCGTCACAACTGTTCAAAATAGGGTCATTACCGGGGGTTTGCTGTGTTTTTACTAACACCCACTCAGCCTTAAAATAGACTGTTTTTACTTCACTCTGTTGATGTTACTACTTTTCTTTCTCTTTAATTCTCTCTCCTTCCGATTCTCTTTCTACATTCCCCTCCCTGCCAGTATAGCCTCAGTGGCCTTGGTAGACGTATAAAGTTTCACACTCACTCTCCCATACACACACACACACATCAGGAGTGCTGCTATGGTCAGCCCTGTCAGGGGTGATTCCACCCAGTATATATAATTTAATTGTGAAATAACAATAATTTCCCTCTGCAATTTCCCTGTCAGTTATTCTCCCACTCACTCTGTTCACCTCCCCCACCCCCCACCCCACCACCCTCTGCATCTCTCTGCTTTAATAAAGTAGCAACCGAAGTGACTTAAGCCAAGATAAACACTAAAAACATCATTTAGAAGTCCACAACTATGTTTTATATTGTGGCCGTTTTTTCCCCCAGTTACTTTACACGCCTCTGGCCACGGCTGCACTCTTAAAATCATAGATAGTTTTGGATTTGAAATGATCGTAAAAGAATGTGTGTAAATTTGGACAAAGAGATCATTGCAGGAAGTTCACAGATTAATATTGCAAAGATTTAGCGGATCTAGTTAGCAAAAGTGAAATCACCTTATCAAGTGTGGACTTTAATACAACAAAGAAAGTGTCATAGTTTGTCTGCATTTTGTGCAATTAAAATTATGTTAAACACTTTAACTAAATTCTTCTGAGTATGTGTTCATCCCAAAAACATACAGATAGAATGAAACATCTCATTTCCAAATTTTAGGTGCATTTTAGAACTGACAGAAATGTCTGATTTCTTGCTATTGTTGGCACTGATATAAGCCACCGAGAAACTGCCACAATATATACCTGTGAGTTTCTACATTTGATTCAAGCCTTTGGTTTTACAGTGTATAATCACATGGGAACTTTCCACTGGTTTTGCACTCCACCTTATGTCAGTCTAAACTTTATAATCCTCCAGCCTTGACAGATCCCAACACACCATACTGTACTTCCACCACAAAATCACACAGTGCAAACCGGAACATTGGCCGTGTAGTAGCAGTGCCATTTACAAATGTTTCACAACTGATGTTATATGGTTAGGAAAATACTTTGTGTGCTGTGTATTAGCATCCTGTTTTGCAGCTGTTTCCAAAGTGACGTTATGCTTTGAGTGAGAAAGCAGCTTTTTTTTTGTAAAGACTGTTAGTTTTATGGCTGCTTTCAGAACTGATGTTATAGTTAATGTTGCTTTGTATACTGAAGCTGTGTGGAGCCACAGAGGCAAAGATATATATATTTATATATATATATATATTATATATATATATTAAATATATATATTTATAGGTTAAATAAGCTGGTTAAAGACACATAGATGTCTAGATAGACATTATTGGACCCTCAGACCCTTGAGTCCCTGGGATCTCTGAGGCGATTGTAATTTGTATGTCTTTAACCTTGTGTGTGCACAGTACATCAGAAGATCATCAGTCAATATCTCTTACATTTTATCCAGTGTGCGAACTACACCTACAGTTTTGCCTATTAAAGACTCAATGCTTACAATCCTTTAGAGAAGTAGTAGTTTGCCCATTGTTCTGTCATTCATATTAAGGTGGGTGGTGTTTTGTTTAGTTTTTTACTCTTTTTATATTTTCATATCTACAAGATATTAAAAAAACTCAACTCATCTATTGTATGGATTTTAATGGAGCCATTGTATAAAGCCCATATTTTACTGGAAGCTTTCTGTCCTGCAGATTTATTATTAGAGAAAAGCCCATTTGAAAAAAAAATCACATTTTGTTTTTGCAGTCACAGTAAAAGAGAGCTCAAAGACTGGTCCAATGCTGTTTGCGACACACAATGTTTCTATTATAAAAAGCCTATTCAGCTCTTTTTTTTTTTTTTTTAATTTGAGATAGGCTGCAGTGACCGCTGCAGTGGTATTGCAGAAATCCATGATCCCTGAATGTGTGCATATTAGTGTGTGTGTTTCTGGTGGCCGGTATTAAGTGTGCGTTCTTGAGTCAGCATGTACAGTACATGCTTGCGTGTGTCTGTGTGTGTTTTCGATGCAGTGGTCTCTCTGTTGCAGTAAAAGGGCCTCTGCAGTCAGTGATGGAGGAGACTCTTTAGAGGCAACCCACCAGGGAGTTGCTATCGGTTGTGTGTGTGTGTGTGCTTGTGTGTGTGTACGAGAGAACGAAAGAGAGTGATGTTATCATATGTGTCTTTGCTGCAGCCTACACACTGAGGTCAAAGCCTTACTCGTCAATCTTTCCTCAATCGAACACACACACACACACACATGCATCCAAGATTAACTATTTGCAGAGGTCCAAAGATCTCCTGCTCTACTTTTATCTTCCTGGATATTATGGCAGGTATTAAAAAAAGTTAAATAATAAATAAACACTCCAAAACAGCTTTAAAAATGAAATTCTTTTTTAGTATTTGACAACATTACTGTGTTGCACCGAGTCACACAAAACTTC